CTTCTCCTCCTCCTCCTCCTCCTCCTCCTCCTCCTTCTCCTTCCCCTTCCCCTTCCCCTTCCCCTTCTCCATCCTGTATTCTTGGTTAGAGAAGGGGTGGGAACCAGGCCCAGCAGAGTCAGGGTGTCCCCATCACCCTGGGGACAAGGCTGAAGTCCCCAAGGCATAAGAGTGAGCCCTGTCCCCGTGTCCCTCTGTGCTGAGGGGTCTCAGTGTGCGTGGCAGGCCCTGTCCCTGCAGGGCCAGCAGGTACTGACTGCACTGTCCTTTCTGTTGTCATGCTGCGTGTGTCACTCTTAGGACACAGAGGAAGGCAGCTGGGCACAGGTGAGGTCCCCGGGTCACTCCTGTCTGTGGGGGGTGCATGGGGTGGTCGGGGGGAGCTGGACATCCCAGGGGATGTGTGGGGCATTGATGTTCACCAAGGCCTTGGAGGCTTTACCTACACCCTGTGGCCGCTCCTCTGGGCCATCTCTCAGGTACAGGATGTCCTCCTGGGCCCTTCTCTGCTCCAGGCAGTGGCTTTTCCTGGGACCTCTGTGAGATCCAGAGCCTGTGTTAAGAGCCCCCACCTGTGTGATCACCCTGCATGCAGGCAGGATTCGAGCTGCACACTTGCTTTTCACCTATTTTGTAGCCCAAAGTCCATACAGATGATTTTTATGAGCCAAAAAGGTGGGAGGAAAGAGTCCTGCTTGGATCCATCTCCTCTGGTTTTATCCCTCTCAAATGTTTTACTTTGCATCTGATGGATTTTAACTCATTTTTGGACTCCAAATCAGCTTGCAGTAGAAATGAATGGGTGGGTTTTTTCCCCAAAACTGACATTTCTTTTTGTTTGTTTTGCAGTCATAAAATAGAGATTATTAAACTAGAGATTCTTAAAAATGAGTAGGGAATGTACTGGAACCTGTTTCTCAGTTGTTTTGTCTTTCAATGAGTGTGCTTTTTCTAGAGGCAGCTCATAAAGTCCAGTTATCCCTTGCCATTGTTTCTGGCTGTGCTTTGCCTCCTGGGGGGACATGGGTAGGTCACAGTCCATGGCCAACATGGCTGTTCCCTCCAGCTCTTCCAGTGTCACGCAGGGCTGACTCCTGGCCTGGCTCAGGACAGTGACCCTCCTGGGCTCTCACTGATCTGGGATTCTGCAGCTCCACCAAGCCCTGGTTCTCCCCAGCTTCTCCATGTGCTTCTGTGCAGACCTTGGCCTATGGGGACATGAACCACGAGTGGATTGGGAACGAGTGGCTGCCCAGCCTGGGTCTGCCCCAGTACCGCAGCTACTTCATGGAATGCCTGGTGGACGCGCGCATGCTGGACCACCTCACCAAGAAGGACCTGAGGGTGCACCTGAAGATGGTGGACAGCTTCCACCGGTGAGTCCTGGCCCTCAGAGCTCCCCAGCGTGCCCATGGAGCAGAGAACAGGGGGATATGAGTGATTCTCCCCTGTCTTGGGCAGCCCTGGATGGCTCTTCCAGGCTGGACTCACCACCCTTAGCTGGGGCAGCTCTTAGGGGCAGAAGTTCTCCTTCACCTCACTCCCTGCTGTAGAATTGCAGGGGACCAGGCCTTCCCCTGGCTGTGAAGCAAACCATGGACAAAACTTCAGGTTCATCCCACCTGGTGCTCCACTGCTGTCTGCCAGCAGCCCAGTGGGAGAAAGCTTGTGCCATCCAAGCCATGGCTCCAGCACCAGGATTCAACCCTGCCATGGGGTTCCACTGCCCACCCTGACCCATGGGCCTGCCAGGGTCACTTCCAGCCTCCCTTCAGCCTGGTGCAGCCCCCATGGGCTGGTTCCCCCTTCCCTCTCCAGCAACCACGTGTGAGCATTGTTTGGATCTGCTCTCAGGCAGCTGGGACGGGCTTAAACTGATGGAGTGGGGAATTGCCATGGAAGGGAGGGACATTCTCCATTGTCCAGCTTTGGGTTCTGTCTGTCCTGACCCATCCCTGGCCTGAAGCATTCTTTGGGCACGTGGGAGCACACAGAGAGGGGGGTTCCTAGCCAGATCCCTCCCAGCCAGGTGTCCTGGAGGGCTGGGTGACCCCTTGTGTCCCTCGTGTCCCCTCGTGTGTTTCAGCACCAGCCTCCAGTACGGCATCATGTGCCTCAAGAGGCTCAACTACGACCGCAAAGAGCTCGAGAGGAGGCGAGAGGAGACCCAGCATGAAATCAAAGGTCAGCACCCCCTGTCCAGCTCCAGAGCAGGACAGAAACCTCCCAGGAGATATCCAGGGCTGGTCTCTCTTCTATCTCTTATTTTTAACCCATTATTTCTGAGCCCCGAGTGCTGTTCTCCCGAGGCACCTTCCTGCTGCTCCAAGGGCCTTTATCAGCTGGCCCCAGGCAGGCATGAGGAGGGAGAAGGGGGAAACAAAGATGCAGCCTGAGCATCCCATGATCTTCTCTGCCCATTTCACTACTCAGGATATCCCCAGCTTGCTCAGCCTCCCCTTTCTTGTCACTGTTGTGAGATTCCCTGTGCATCTGGCTGCTGCTTGGATTACATCTCATTATTGATAATGCCCCTAATTACATCAGCAGCCATGGGTTCTTAGGATTAATTTTCACAGTTGTTTTCTGCCTGTTATTTCAGCTTTGAGCTTGGTAAATTGAACTGAGCTGGTTTTGGCACTTGAGCTCCCGTTTTTGCTGCTGGCTTGGGAAGGAGAGTCCCAGGATCATCCTGGAGCAAAGAGAAAGGGCCTCAGGACATCCCCAGAGCTCCTCAGAGCCACGAGTGTGTTGTGAGGTGGCCCTGAGCCGTGCCCTTGCTGTCCTGCAGATGTGTTGGTGTGGACCAATGACCAGGTGATTCACTGGATCCAGTCCATCGGGCTGCGCGAGTATGGGAACAACCTGGTGGAGAGTGGTGTGCACGGGGCCCTGCTGGCCCTCGATGAAAACTTTGACCACAACAGCCTGGCCCTTGTGCTGCAGATCCCCACTCAGAACACCCAGGTAGGAGCAGCATCCTTGGGGGATTTTGGAGAAGAGTGGCCAGTGTGGGACATGGCTGTGGTGTGACCACACCTGTGTCACCAACCCAGCTCTGCCTTTTAAAGCAGAGCTCTCCTATGGCATGGGGGCTCTTTCTGTCACACTCAGGCTTTCCTAGAATGGAAGTTTGGGCTGGAAGCACATTCCCCATTGATGGGGGATCATAATTTTTTGGTTAATTGCAGGCTCGACAAGTGCTGGAGAGGGAGTTCAACAACCTGCTCGCCTTGGGCACGGACCGGAGGCTGGATGATGTGAGTGCCAAACCTCTCCATGTCCTGTGTGGCTGGGGAAGGACTTGGGGGTGTTGGTGGATGAGAAGCTCAGTGTGCCCCTGCCATGTGCTCTGGCAGCCCAGAACCCCTCTGTGCTGGGCTGATCCCCAGTGGAGGCAGCAGGGCAAGGGGGGATTCTACCCCTGGGCCCTGCTGAGGTGAGACCCCACCTGCAGAGCTGCCCCAGCTGTAGGCTCCAATATCAGAAGGACATGGAGCTGCTGGGGCAAGTCCAGAGGAAGAGCTCTGAGAGCTGGAGCTCCTCTGCCATAAGTCCAGCATCCCCTGGAGTCTTTACTGGGACTTTTGTGTTAATGTCTCCAAGGCATCTTTGCAGGCAGGCTGCAAAAATGATCTATCCCTTCTCTGCAGACTGCTGTAGAGAAGAGACAGATGAGCTGGAAAGGATAAAGCCAATGCCATGGGATCCCAGCAAGATGTCCTATGTCCTTTAATCCCACACTTTTCTAGAGCTGGTCACCAAGGACAGGCCTACCCTTGTTAGCTCCCAGGGCCAGGAGGTGCTGCTGGCACTGACCCCGGCCTGTCACCGCTGTTCCCTGCAGGGCGATGACAAAACCTTCCGTCGGACGCCGTCCTGGCGCAAGCGCTTCCGCCCACGGGACGTGCACAGCATCAACCTCCTGAGCGGCTCTGCCGAGACCCTCCCCGCCGGCTTCCGTGTCACCAGCCTCGTGCCACTGCCCCCTCCGGCTGCTCCCGCCAAGAAAATGCCCCCGGAAGGTGGGTCAGCCCTTCTCCAGGGGGCCCTCTCCCACCCCTGCTCAGAGCCTTAGGGAATGTGGGGAAGGATGTGCCACCAGGAAAGGAAAGGGATGGGGGGAGGAGGAGAAGGAGGAGGAGGAGGAGGAGGGAGAGGGAGAGGGAGAGGGAGAGGGAGAGGGAGATTGAGAGGGAGAGGGAGAGGGAGAGGGAGAGGGAGAGAGGGAGTGACTTGCTGGTCAACCAAGATGCTCAATCCATATGATCCTGGAGCAGTGGCCTGCTGGCAATGTTTTTCTGAAAGGATCACTTCAGACCTATGTGTGAGTTCTTGGTTATGAACTACAAGAGCCAGTTAGGGGCCAGGATTGTGGCATATAGTGGGATATGTCACCCAGGGGCTGCCAGGATGCAGGAGTCCAGTCTGGGCCAGTTTTCTCCATTCTGGTTTTGGGAACCACCCCCAAAAGGGATGTATTAACTGGCTCCATTTGCCTGAGCTCTCCCCTGCCTGCCCTGTTTTATGTCCCAGGATCTGCCCCCAACAGACAACTCCTTTCTTCAAGGTGTCTTGGTACCTTCCAAAGCCATAGGTAGGCAGAAGCTCCAGCCAGGTCACTACAATTTGTCCCCTGGACCAGGCACCCTGGTCCCACTATCCCAAGGTAGCAGCTGCTCCCCACTGGAGCAAAGCTGGCTTCATCAGACTCAGAAATGAGGATGGGAATGAGAATTAAAAAGCTGTGTACTTACCTTCCAACTCCAAACCCCAGATTCAGCTTTTCTCCTGCCTCCAGTTTGGCTCAGAGGTCCCAGCTTTCCATCCAGCAGTTTGGGTCAAGCTTCTGTTTGACCTTTTCCACCCCATCCCTGGAAATTTCAGTTCCCCTCTGGCTGAAGACAGTGAAACCTGGGACAGAATCCCACCCAGACAGGGAGCAGGGTGCTCACTGCCCAGGGGCAGGAATGGCAAGTGCAATTTCCCAAATGTCCTGGAGCCTCAGGAGCATCAAGAGCCAAACGTGGCTCTTCCTCTGACCCTCATCTTCACGTGGCTGCGGTGCACAGTCGCTGCTCAATAAACACAGGATATGGGGATGTTGGGGGCTAATTGGAGTAGTCACTAATCGCTTTGCTTTTTGGTTCCCTTCCAGTCAGTGCCTCCGGGTCCCCAAGGCTGGAGACCTCCACGGTCCGGACGTACTCGTGCTGAGGGTCAGCGAGATGGGAGCCAAGCCCTAGGTGAGTGCTGGGGACCAAGGGCAGAGCAGGAGCCCCGGCAGCACCCAGGCACGGAGGGGGCTGCCCTCACCAGGGTTTGGCCATGGAGGACCAGGGAGAGCTCAGTGGTGGGGGAGCTGCTGCTGCCCCAGGCTCACAGGGATGATGCAGGAGGGGTGTTCAGTGTCCCACCACGTGCGGTTTGTCCACTTTTGGACAGACGGCTCCTCTGGGGACCCCAGATGCCATTCCCAGTTGGGTGAGGGAAGGATAGTCAAGCACTTCAGGGAGGCTCCTGCTGTGCCCTGGGCCGTGGTTGCCCTGTGCCAGGAAGATCCAGTGCTGATTCCATCTGGGTTTGTTGGTTGGTGGGTGCACGGGTGGAGCTGAGCCAGCGTCCTCACGGGGCCTTTCCCACTTTGCTCCTCAGCAAATCCCCATGTCTGTACGCCACGTGCTGGCTGCCTTCCAGGACAAGAGCCCAGCCTGTGCCTGTTCCTCAGCCCTGACCCACAGACTGTCACTGCTGTGGACTGACAACTTCTGTCCCTCCTGCTCATGCACCCCCTGCTTCCCCCGGCTCCCGTGGCTCCCACCGTGGCCTGTCCCCCACTTCTCCTGTGCTGGCTGGGCCATGGGTGTGCTCCGGATGCTGTCCTGGCACGGTGCAATCTGGGGAGCAGCACAGACACCCCCAAAGTGTCTGCAGTGTTTGGAAACCTCTCTCCTGCCTGGTTCATTTTGCCAATCTGCCACGGGCTGCACTCACTCGAGCCCTGGGCATCGGGGATGCTGCTGCCCACAGGACTTGAAGCCAAGGAAGATTCAGGCTCGTGAAAATCCTCCCTCCAGGGTGGCTGGGCAAGGAGCTGCCCTTGGGGGGCCAGGGCAGTGCCAGGGCTGGTGCTGGGTGGGATGAAGGGGGCCCAGCGTGAGGCGAGGAGGGCGGTGTCTGCCCAGGGCTGGGTGGGCAAGGTGCTGATTCTGGTGCTGTCAGGTGCCCTGTTGGGGGGGCTGTGCCTGGGCCCGCCCCACACGGCTCATGGGGACAGTGTCTGGCACCCACAGGAGAGGGGACCCTCCTTGGGTGCCCAGGGAGACAACAGGAGCCCCCTACACCCCCAGGATGAGCCCATCCCTCCCCTCTGGGTGCAGAGGAGATGCTCTCCCCTCCTGCCTCCTGGCAGGGGTCAATCCAGGAGGCTCTTAACTCTTCCCATTTCTTCCATAGGGTAGGATCTCTTTGTCTCCTCATGCCACGTTTGCCTTGTGTGGCCCCTATTTCTGATGTGATATTTATTGATGGCTGGAATGACCTTATACTTATCATGTGCTGTCTGGAAGTGCAATATCTGAGAGACTCTACAGTCACAGCGTCTTTTCGGTGTATCATTTGCCTAATACAGTACTAAATATTTTTTTAATTTGAAGAGTCAGTGAGCCCTTTATATTGATGCCCTATTTCTTTTGTCATATTACTGGTACTGCATGGACTCCAAACCCTGGATCGGGTCAGGAAAGGATGTATGTGTGTTCCAATAAACAGGATTTTAAAACACTGCTGGCTTTGAGCCTCCTTTGTAGAGCCCAAATTCAAAAAAACATTAATCTCTAGCTCCCTCAAGATCTTTGGGGTGCTAGGCTGAACTCCAGTTAAACACCAGTGAAATCACTGGTCAGTGTAGGGCTAACTGAAGTGTGGCATATCCACTTCCCAACTGAGTGAATGTGCTGAGATCCAGCTGGATTTACTGATACGAAAATGTCCAACGTGGATTTGGGGATTGTGGAACTGAGGAGACCTACACAGGGCAGGACAACAGTAAAGGAAGCCCCGAGCTGTCCAAACAAGAATGCCTTTATTTAAAAAAGAATCCAAATAAGTTAGCAAAAATAATAATTAAAAAACCCTAAATGGCAACTGCACACAGCGTTCAGTAGAAAAGACAGGTGGGCTCTGGGTCAGCACCACCAGACAGCGGCTGGACAGAGACCTTGGTCAAGGAGCATCTGGAAAACTCAGCAAAGTGACCCCAGCACACATTGGCCCTAAACCGGCCCATGCCTGGCTGGGCAGTGGAGCAGGGCCTGGCCCTGGGAAGCCCCTCCAGGACCACCCCACCCCTGCCTGTTGTCCTTGCAGCCCGGCAGGAGCGCTCCGAGGAGTGGGGAGGGAGCCGAGGGGTGTCAGCCCTGCAGCCCACAGCCGGAGGGGTGGATGTGATCTCCATCTTATTCCCACCCTGTTACCATTTCAAGGAGCCGCTGGGGTTTGCACCAGCTCAGTTCTGACCCCGCTCCTCCGGGAACGTCACAGCCACGTCCTCCACAGCAATGCTCTCCACGATAGAGGACAGCGAGTGCAGATTGCGCTCCTCAGCTGCCTCGTCAGCCAGGAGGTGATCTGGGGAGACAGAGGGGTGAGGACACTGCTGGGAATGGGGACTGTGTGCTTGAGATGGCTCCTGGTTCTGCTCAAGGGGATGTGGGTTAGTGGTGAACATGGCTGAGGGTGGGACTTGATGATCTTTTGCATCCATAACAATTTGTTAATTCTTTTCTATGATTCTATGACCCATGATCCTCCACATGGCCAGAGGGACCTAGAGACCTGCTGCCAGCCCCCATCCTGGGGAAGGATTAGAGAGCAACAGGGAGTGGGACTTTTGGATCCTTTATAGGTTTTAATCTCCACTGGAAAATGAGATTTAAGTTTCTGCCTTCTGGGGAAAATAACAGGTGGATTTGGCAGGGGCGGGGATAATGGCAAGCATGGAAAAAAAGATCAGCAGCTGCCGAGGGGGTGTAGGGGGGGAAGGGGGGCTGGGGCAGTGCTGGCCAACCACGCTCAGCTATGCCCAGCCATGCCCAGTGATGCCCAGCCAAGCATGCCAAGCTAAGGGATGGCAACAGATAAAAGCCTCGCTGGGGATGAAGGCACCAGGGCCCCAGGCTGCTGCAGCTCCCAGGGGTTGGTGTTTTGGGGAAATCAGGGCTCAGAGAGCCCTGAATTGCTGAGAATTGAGCCAAGGAGGTTCTGTAGGATTTCTGAGCTCAGCACTCTGCAGCAGTGGGACGGGGAGAGAAGGGCAAGGTTCCCTCCCAGTCCCTGCAGAGCCCAGCGAGGCCGTGGGATGCCCAGGGTGGGAGGAGGCGTTACCTGCAGGGTTGGTGCTGAACTCCAGCTGGCTGCTCCACTCGGGGCTGCAGGAGGAGCTGCCCGACCCGCAGTCGCTGGCTGCCTGCAGGAGCCCAGAGCAAGCGGTGTCACCTCCTCGGGCACGGCAAACCCCACCTGCATCCCCAACAACACCCGGGGCCCATCCCACAGCGGGGGCAGGTCCCTCCCCACGTGCAGGAGCCAACAGCACTCAGGGTCCCTAGGACTCATCAGGGCGAGGTGCTTCCTTAACCATAAAGGCTGGAAAAACCTCCTTGTTTTGGGACACTGGCCACAGAGAAATGGGGCTCCCTGCTCACTGCATGTAAAAAGGTGTTTCTTTCCCCACTGATTATGAAAAAGAGCTGGAGATGAACAAATGTCCTTGGGCAAAACACCTTTTTACTGAGAATCACCTAATCAGGCTTGTAAAAAATGACACATGGGCTGGATACCCTCAGGCCATCCTGAGGGGGGGATTGGGAAAAGCTTTTGGCAGTTTGATTTGTGGATTTGGGGCTGAGTGGTTTTGGAGAAAAGAGCTGACAGCATGAAAAATTAGAGCATTATTCAGCACAGCTCAGAATTCACTTTTTTTGGGTGTGTCTTTGTCTGCGAATGGGTGTCAGCTCAGGTAAAACCCCAAAAGTGATTTATATGAGCAAGCCCATAGACCCAACTCTTTGTAGCAGACTAGAATGGCACTTTGGCTGTACAAGCTCATGGCAACACAGGACAATTAATTAATACTTGGATTTATTTCCCATTAAAGCAGGAAATTCTTCTAGGTACGATCTTTTTTTGTCCAAAATATTGGCTTTTGCATAAATATGTGAACCCCTGGCTGCAACTGGGAGAAGGAGCAGCTCAGAACAGAAGTGACAAAGGGACAGCTCAGCACAGTTTTGGGCACATTTGCAAATCTAAGTGGATTCTAGGAAGTGGACATTAGATTCTGGTATCCAAGTGTATTCTGGCATTAAAGTGGATACTGGGAAGTCCCACAAATATTTAGGATGGAGCCTAAATACTTTTTCATTCCTTTATTCAGCATTAAATTGGACTACCTGGATACCTACTGGTTTGGCCCTTAAATCCCTTAGTCTGGAAGGAGATGTGGGATTCCCTCTTCTGGGCCTCTGATAAAGTCCTTCCATTTCTGTATCTGTATCTATATCTGTATCTGTATCTATCTATGTCTGTATCTATAGCTATATATATATCTGTATTTGTATCGATCTGCATCTATATCTATATGGATCTCTCTCTATATATATATATCTCCATATATCTATGTGTTGTATTTATATCCATATCTACATTACCTACTTTTGTATCTAGATCATCCATATCTACATCATCTCTATCTCCATAATCTGTATCTATAGATATACCTGTATGTCATTTATATATAAATATCTATAGATAATCTATATAATCTTTATCACTGTCTATATTATCTATATATAATCTATTTCTATAATTTGTATCTTTCTCTATAGCTATCATATCCATATCAATTTAATTTCTAATTTGTCTATATGATCTCTGGATCTATAGAACCCATATCATCAATGCCTATACCAATACACAGCCCTACATCTATCCATTCCACCTCTCCCTAGACCTGGAGCTGTCGTCTCAGCATTCTGTGCATTTGCAGATCCAAACCTCAGGGCAGAAGGGAAGCACATAGCCAGCCATCCACAGGAATCAGGGGGCAGGTGAAAATACCTCTCAAAAACTTGGTTAAATGGCTAAACTTTTGTGGAGTGACAGGTCCTGGCTCTCTGGGGATGGTGACAGGACACAAATACTGAGTGGCCTCAGCCAGTGCCCATAATGGGCCCCTTTGGCCCTAGAAACCAGAGCTGTCCCTGTGCCATCCCTCTCATCCCTTCCTCTGCCTGGGTGTGAACAGAGAGGGTTAGTTTTATTTTATATTTTATGCTTTATATTTTTTATATTTCATATTTGTATTTATCTTTTTGCATTTAGTATTTAATATAATTAATTGTTATGTTATATTTTCATTTAGTTTAGCTCTATGTTGTTTCCTTCACTTTCACCATTCCCAGCCCTCCCCAGCCCAGGCCCACGTGTCACTCACATGCACGGCCCCAGTGAAGCCATTCCAGGGACAGAGGGGCAGTGTCCCCTTTCCCGCAGGGATGTGAGCACTCGGCAGGGTTGGGTCATTGTCCCTGTGCCCCCATGCAGGACACACCTCCACCAATGTCCCAAGGTGGCAGTGCCTGCCCCACCCCAGAGCTGGGGTCCTGTTCCCCACCAGCAGCACCCAGTGCCCAGAGCTTCTGCTTGGGGTTACCCCCACAGGGCACCACCCCATAGAGTCATGTCCCCATGGAGAATCACCCCATGGCATCACCCCCTAGGCCTTAACCCTGAAATGGCATCAACCCTTTAAAGCATCACCCATGTAGGATGGACACCCCGAAACGATATCACCTCCATAGAACCTCATTCTCATATGGCATCAACCCCATAGAGTGGCATAACCTCCAGTGGGCATTGTCCCCTTAGAGCATCTCTGCCATAGAATGGCACTCCAAAATGACCCCACATCAGGCATCACCCCATAGAGCATCACCCCTAAATGACACCCTCCTATAGAGCATCATCCCATAGAGCATCACCCCATAGAAAGTCACCTTCACAGGGCATTGTCCCCACAGAGCATCAGTCCCATATAGCCCTTCTCCCATGGAGCATCCCCCGGGATAGCCTCACGCCCATGGAGTGTACCCCGAGATGGCCTCACGCCCATGGAGCGTCACCCCGCGCTCGTCACCCCACGGGGCACCCCCTCCCCTCCCTGGGGCACTCACGGCGGGCTGGGCCCGGTAGCGCAGCTCCCGCTGGTCCCGCTCCTGCTGGTTGAGGGAGCTGAGCAGGCTCTGCAGCCGCTCGATGTACTGGATGGCGCTGCGCAGGATCTCCACCTTGGGCAGCCGCTGGTTGGGGTTCAGTAGCGTGCTGCGCTTCAGCGCCTCGAACGCCTCGTTCACCTTCTTGAGGCGCCGCTTCTCCCGCAGCGTGGCGGCGCGGCGCCGGTCCATGGACACGGATTTCCTCTTGCACACCTTGCAGGCCCAGGGCAGGCACTGCCCGGGACAGTGCTCGGTCAGCGCCTCCTTGTCCTGCAGAGCCGCCCTGCCCTCGGCGCACAGCGCGGCCTCGGCGCGCTCGGGGAACGCCGCGGGCTCCAAGGCCTGCAAGCGGGAGCCCAGGAAGTTTTCGCCATCGTAAAACCTCTGCTCCGGGAAGAAATACGGGTTGGTCTCGAAGAGCTCCATGGGCGGCTCGGGGACGTGTGCGCGGCTCGGCGGCGGCTGCTCCCTCTCCCCGCGCCAACTGCTTGGTGCCATTTAAACCCC